CATGCCCACAAGTGTTCGAGTAGAGAGCTTTCAATAAGGTGATGTACTTACTAGGCACGCCTTTCAGTGACAGACACTGCCATAAGACTTCTCGATCAACGGAGTCAAATGCCGCCTTCAGGTCGAGAAATACAGCTATTGTCGGGCGTCTGTAAGCATGCCTATGTTCCAGGACCTGGCGCAGTGTGAATATTTGGTCGATACATCCACGGCCAGGTCTAAAGCCTGCCTGGTTTTCTCGGGCTTGCTGTTCCCGAGCTCCACTCAGGCGTCGGAGAATTATAGAACTTAGGATCTTAGACACTATGTTTGTCAGGCTGATTCCTCTGTGGTTATCACAAGAGGACTTCTCGCCTTTCTTGAAGACTGGGATGATGAGTGACTTAGACCAGTCGGAGGGGATCGTATTTGATTCCCATATACTGGCTAACACTTCCGTTAGCCTGACTAAGAGAACTCTACCACCATTCTTGTATACCTCAGCAGGTAGTCCGTCTGGTCCTGCTGCCCTTCCCCGTTTCAGGCTACCTACCGCTTTCTCAACTTCTTCTAGTGTTGGGGGACCTGTCTCTATGTCCCATTCAGGGTCCGACTGGATAGCGGGCAGCGCAATGGTGGCTGGAGGCCAGTTAAACTGTTCCTCAAAGTGTTCTGCCCATCGTCCCAGTCGCCTTCCCTGCGAGTGAATCGCCGATCCGTCCTTCTCCGCTATAACCTCACTAACTGTTGTTGACCATTTCCCCCCAGTCTCCTTAATAAGTCTAAATAACTGTCTACTGTTACCGATCGCCGCTGCCTTTTCCATCTCTTTAGCCTTTGCTGCCCACCACTGTTCACGATCGTTGCGCAGACTTTTCGTCAGTTTATTTTTAAGTTGCGCTCGCTCTTCATTGTACTCAGAGCCTGCAGGGATGCATTCACGTGCATCCATTAGTTTGGAAGAAGCTGCTGATATCCACTGGCTCTTTTTAGCCATTATCTTGGAGTCGGCTACAGTCTCCAGTGCTGCTTTTACAGTAGACTGAAGATGGCACCAAGCTTCTTCTGGATGAGTGACAGTCTTTTGTTCCGATAACTGCCTAGCCAACTTCTCACTGAACACGGCTTTGGTGTTTTCGTTGTCCAGCAGAACTCGTAGTGGTTTTGTTGCCAAATTTTTTCTACGTCCATTGAGACGCAGGCATATACGTGCTCGGACCAACGCATGATCGCTGTCCAAACACGTACTCCAGAAGGAGCGGCAGTCTTCCACCGATCCTCTCCAGCGATGACTAATAGCAATGTGGTCTATCTGTGTCCATCGCTGAGTCGAGCTCGGTGGACGCCAGGTCAGACAGTGCCTTTCTTTATGTCTGAAATTTGTGCTGGCTAAAAATAGGCGGTTATCTGAGCATAGTTGTAATAGGCGATCACCGTTATCTGTACGTTCAGCTGGGATTCCGAAAGTGCCACCTAAGTGCCTTTCTGCCTCACTCAGTCTACCCACCTGTGCGTTGAGGTCACCTGCAACAACCACTACGTCCGAACGTTTGGCTTTCGAGAGGAGGTTAGACAGTTTATGGTAGAACTCGTCCTTCACTTCATCCGAACTACAGTCAGTGGGTGCGTAAGCAGAGATTACAAAGAGACAACGGCGAGTCTCACTATTCCTTTTAGTTCTCACTGTGCCGTTCAGCCTCATAGCGCAGAGGCGACTATCAACTGGGATCCAGTCTAGTAGTGAGTTTTCTGCCCTGGTGCTTAATGCTATACCTACACCTGCAAGACCACGAGAGCTAGCTATCGAATCTCCAGAAACTCGAAGGGTGAATTTTGCAGATTCACCAGATTGGTCAGGAGAGGTCAGGTGAATAACCACACTTGGGTCCTGTATGCGTGTCTCACAAACACAGCACACATCCATGCCCGAGTTGCTAGAGTCTTTGCCAACGAAGCCTGTTGGCCAATTTGACGGAGGGTGCGGACATTGAAGGCTCCAATATGTAATTTGGAGCGTGGTTTAAGGAGACCAGGGATGCTGTTCTGTGGACTCAGATCGTTGTCGAAGGCTGCAGAGGTAGGAGAAATTGAAGATGATGCATCATCATTAATTAAGAGACGTGAAGGAAGATTAGAAGGTAATGATGGAGGAGGAGGATAGCAGTCAGAAGAAACTTGGGTGCTGACAGAGTTGTGAGGGCGGTTGACACTTCCCGGCTGCCCACACCGTGGAAGGCTATTTCTTCTTAAGGTACCTGAAAGAGATTTGTGTGACCGCAGAGCCCATCGGACATCTGCTTGAGGCCTGTCACACCCAGCCTTTTGAGTATGATTATTTTGAATTTTTGTATTTTTGGGGCCGGATGGTCGAAAGGAAACGACAAGTGAACCAACACCGCCGGCCCGGCAGACCGTGGGGCGTGGTGGAGTGTGTTATTTTTGGGGCCGACCTTTTCTAACCCCCCCTTCCACTGAGAAGGCAGCATCAGCTTGGCACTGCTGGTCATCCAAGGGAAACACCTTACTGCTGTCACACCCCATCCAGCTAGCAGCAGTACGACTTCGCCCTCAGACCCCCATCATAGTGTAGCAATTTACACTATAACGGTAACTGCTTTTCGTCTAACCACTACCCAACAGACCTTTCTGGTATGGTAGGACCTCGAGGGAACAAGCGTTCCACCAGCATAGCTCGTTGGGTCATTGTGATATGCAAGCCCGACCACCACGTCAAGGTAGCAGCTATCAGTCGGTCACAATGTTTCCAGTTGAATAGGACGAATTATAGATAGGTAGATGGGTCTTTCAGCACTACAGTAATACTACTAATCATTTAATAGGTTTTTTTGAGAAATGACTACATTTCCCAGCAAAGCTATAGTACTATAAAATTCTCAGATTTGGTCTTTCTGACAAACGCTAACCTCAACGCTTTCGACGTAAGCATTCGGATTTAATTGCAAAAGGAGAAAAATCAACATCATTTACAAAGTAAGCTGACCAAATTTGAAACTTGTTCATAAAAGCTTAGGAATTGTGATGCTGAGAATATGAATGCAATATTTACCACCTATAAATTGCTCTATGTAAACTTATGCGTAGGAAAATAGGCGATTCATTATACCAGAAGCACAATCAATACGCTGTTGACTAAAACTCCATATGAAATTATTTAAAATTCCAACTTAAGCACCACCATTCATAAGCGTAACAAAAATCTTAAAATTGAATTCTTTAAATAGATTTGTAACAAATATATAAGCTAACAGAAGTTGGAAATATGGAGCATTGGATTCTCACCCAGCGGCTCAGTGGTAACGTGCTGGTCGCGGGACCTAAAGGTTGCAGGTCCGACCCCTGGCGGGGTCGTGGGTGCGCACTGCTGAGTCGTCCCATACTAGGACGAAACAGCTGTCCAGTGCTCCCAGGTTCCCTTTGTCCCTCCAACTGATGTCAGTCTGCGATGAGAATAACAACTTGAAATATATAAGCACAAAAGTGGAATCATAAAAAACATGTAGCCCTTGAGCATTACTTTTCGGCAACTTCCAGTAATTATTACTGCTTTCTCAATTAATAACAGTTTCATTTTTATTATTTTGAGAATTCATTTAGTAAAACTTATGAAATCTGAGTTGTATTAAACTGATGTATCTAATGTATTAGGCTGGTGAAAGTTTCTTCAAATGCATGTGTCCTGAGGTTGTGGAGGTTAGTTGGTAAAATCCTAAAGCTCAACTTCCAATCCCAAATAACTACGTAAATTCCACTTTGAGGAAAACGAAAAAGTTAAAACTTCTTTCCAAGCATTTACTTAAAAGTATAGCTTCTTAGCACAACGACTATATGCTAATTACTGATTTATTTGAACGTTAGTGCCTTAACTGTCACCTATGTACCCTAATCCCAGCTTCAGCTCCCTAGTCTTCATGCTGGTAACTGCAAACCGGTTTCAAACTCCTCACTCTGACAATACTATCGCTATCGAAATTCTGCACCATTTTATTGATAATCGAAACAACATGAACTTACAATCTCTGATCCGGTAAAAATCAAGGTTTGCTTTCATCACGTTTCATTAGCCATTTCAACGATGATTTGACGCCTCCAATATACTCAAAGTGTTCCTATTTATCACTTTGTTTGAATCGGTATGGAAGGTTATTCAATTCATATGATCACTTTCGTAAATAATACCAATTATCTAGAAATGCACGTGCATAATGGCGCTTGCATATTGTGTGAAGTGGCTTCATACTGGATATTTTCCACATGATTCATTTGGATGCCGGTATATTATATGACAGATCATTATTTATCAGTTACAAGCTCGTGGAAGTTAGGATGATTATTAAATAGGTGAATTATGTTTCGCCAGCACTGCCAGAGGTAAGCGAACACTTATGCTGTCACGCTTATCTGATAAGTATTAAATAATCTTCGTACCATACACTTCCAAATCTATGAAATACCATTCTCATTTAGTCTAAGTTGGGTCTGGCATGCGGGAATTAACACAGAGATACCAGGAATAGCGAATGTGTAGCTATACTCACATGCATTTGAAATCCATTTATTTTAGTTAATTAACAATGTTGATCATAGTCATAAGTATCTAAACACTTATTTGCAAAAACTCAGTTTTTGGTTATGCTGCATTGCATACAAGGATAATAAACACAACTGCAACAGACCAACTCCGTCAAGAACACACATTCGGTAAGGGAACTGTAATAAAACCTTAACCACGTGCGTGACAACTGCACACTACCTGACTTGTAGTAAAAACAACTGAGCTAGCAACACTGCTAGTTAATTGGCCCAGATAATTTGATAAAGTGCCACATTCAAACAAAAAAATGCATAGTAAACTGAAATAGATATGAATATGTGTTCTGTTGTGAATCTGCTGCCTAATGTCTGCCAGCTAAAAAGAAAGCTCCCAGTATGTTTCCACTTGAATATACCATATCTGATCTAAAACTAACCGCAGATTTTTTTTCATTTATTTATTTTGACAGGTATTCAAGGATCTGTCGGAAACCACCGATGTCATTAAAGCTGAAGATGATATTTTGGATTACAATGAGAATGTTCAAAAATTGTGGAGTGCATTAATGAGGAATGAATCAATCCTAGTTGAACAAATAGATGAATTAATCACTGAATTTGAATTAAGCCTCAACGATATGATTGATACATTCATTGAAAATGTTGAAGTAAGTAGTGTCAATAAACGCTTCCAGTGCCGTATACGCTAAAATAAACCTCCTTATTCTGCTCTGCACTGTTGTAAAGAAAATTTACGTCTTGCATTCCTTTTCGAGAATATACACTGTTGTCCAGCTGGTTAAAATTATCTCATGTATGGAATAAAATGCATTCTAGTAACATCATATCCTTTCACTGTCTTTGAATAACAGTCCATTAATACCGATTTGGCTTGGGTAAGTGCATCTAAATATCTTGGCAATACAATTTACAAAAACCTTCAAAGAAAAGTTGAATGCAATTCTAATTACGCTACACTATTCCTTAATCTTATATTTCATGGAACCATGAAATGAAGAATAGATAAGGAAGATCTTTTGTCAACTCACACTTCATCATAATTTTTTACACTGAAGACTACCCACTATTTTGGGACCTTTTTAACATTGAACAGACTAGTTGTTAGACTCCTAACTGAAGTACTGAGTGAGATAAATATCAGTTTTAAAAGTGGTATATAACCCTTCTAGTCTTTAAGTGCCATTTTAATCTCCAAACAGTAAAGATGAATCTAAAATTCCGTATCTAGTTGAAAGCGTTACTTAAAACGTGAATATCAACAAACGCTATCTGACTATTTCATCAATCTTCTAATATTTAGAAAAGTATATGCGCTATGCCAGTCCCTTTTCACTTGAATAGTACATAAGACAAGAGGTAATATTCTAATAATTAATTCTACTTTATTTGTGTATGGTTCTTTTCTTGAGATAATAAATTAATATGACTAATGTGTGATCTTTCAAACTTCTGTTTGTTTAGGCTCACGGTTGAGCACCAGCGCAACAATTTAGGTCTTATAAAAGATAGTTTCACTTACTTCAAATTTTCCCTTTTGAAAGTAGTTTAAAAGTTAACCCAAAGAGTATCTTTCACCATTCAATAGCCTCCTCTGAATAGCGCTCTGGTGTCTAAATCAGTGCACACTGTATATGACTCTCAGTTTAGGACAAAACAATGAGTTGAAAGTATGCTCATCTTACGTGTGTCGAACAGGAAGTAAAGTGCTCTCTGTCTCCTATCCATTTCGAACTCATAAAACCCACCCTCAGTTTCCCAAATCACGTATAGCAAAGCCATTTCAACAACAGAATAGTTTCTTTATCCCCTTTACACACATTTATATTTGCATATTGATGATGATTGAAGACTGTACTCCAGGTAGTCAGCTAAGTTGCGCAACTGTCCAGCCATACTGCTTTCCGAGTCTATTCCGTAAAATTGAAGAGTCTTTCCTCTGCAGTCATTCACTGAGTTCACTGTATGCTGTGAAATTTTTTCTATGTGCACTAAAGTTATAATTACTGTAATTGTTTTGCGCTCAATTTCAATTTTATATTCCTTCACCTGATAGTTCTTTAAATGAGCATTTTGGTTCGAAATTACCGGTCCAAAGAAAAAGAACTGGAAATTATCTCCAACTTGTATGGGATAATCTTCTATAAACACTGAATTGAGTTTTCATTCACAATATTCGTCGCATTTACTGCAGTTTTACCTTATTAAAATACGCAGATCACGATAGCATCAGTAAACTAGGCTTTTGAAAATTTGGACTTTTAAGAGAACTCTAATATTCTCAGCTGAGTGAATACCTTCTATTTGTTGATGAGTGTCAACAAGTATCAAATCCGAATTGAGAGTCTCTTGCTTATTTACTGTAAACAGTGAACACAGAATTCAAGTTATTGGTGAAAGGGTTGGAGTAGACTATATTTTGACTAGAAGTGTTCCGCTTATTGGTGTTCTCGCCCTCAAACGTTGAAAGAAATAGTATATGGGTAATCCACTTCATACATATGAATGTGATCCGTGATCCGAAATTATTCTCTCTTCATTCAAATTTCAGGGTCATTTTACAGAATGTCGAGAGTTACAGGCTCAATACCACGAAAGACTGACAGATATATGCCCAAGTGTTCTGGAGCGATTTATGCGCAATGACTTTCAAAGTGAACCGTCAGATGCGCTTATTGCTGTAAGTTGAATGCTTACTACATAATAAAACTGAAACTTGACTGATTTCTGTACTGAATAGTCTATGTTGTACTCGTTGACTTTTAGTTAGGATACTTCATCTCGGTATTATTATCACTTCAAATTTAATCTGAAATATTTTGTTTGCTGGTCTATTTTCAACAATATCCCTCCCATAACACATTCAGACCGATGGCAGCCCAATAGCTTACTAAGTTGAAGTAACTATTACAACTTTGGGATACGACGTAAGAGTTCTTTGGCAACTGACAATAGAGAGGAAGACAGACAGACAGAATCAACGTAGAAACTCACACTGGAGTACATCCATTCAATTTGCCACGCTTCACAGTAGTATATAAAGACAAGTGGACAGAATAAAAGTAGACAAAGTTGTGTGAGAGAATAAGCAATCTGAAGATAACGGTTAGTGCGAATATGCAAGCTTAAGAAAATGTTAAGGAATAGATACATCTGCACAATCGTGATCCATTTCTAGCCATGTCAACAAGAGTTCTTAACCCCTGATTCCCATACTCTCGCAGGCCCCAGCATAGCAGTATACATCTCCCAACACATGTGGATCAGTACACAACGCCTCTCCTACGCGTAATACAGATATGCCCTTTATTGCAGTACATGAATATTCATGACTGCTGCCTTTTACATGCATTAGGTTTGGCTGGTCAAAATTCGTGGAAAATTAAATGGTTCTTTCTACTGAGATCCACGACAACCAAAACATGAAGCTTAAAATTTGACGATATAGTTCAGATTCTATGACAGTAATTTATATAGGTATAAGACTTGGGCACTGTGGTAGAACTAAATCCCATATTAGATTTGTTTATTTGATTTAATCATAATCATATGATTATGAACAATAATTTTTGCTCGAAACGTCATCAAGTAAATAATACTAGATCACTGTGTGTTATAAATCAAATAAACAAATCTAATATGGAAGTAATTTATATGTATCCACGGTTTGTCTCCCCATAAACACAGAACACCTTGCTATTCTTAACTTTCTATAGCATGATGTTCTGAATCAGTTGCATTTTGGCTATTAGGTCACGGGTTCAAATATACTTTATCTACTGACATTTGGGACGATTTCAGACTAACTCATGACAAGGGGAATATGGTTGGTCGATTGGAAAGATTTAACACTACAAAATCATATCCGCCTAACATGTGGGGAACGTAACAAAACGCACTCAGCAACCTTGCGCACGTTTCTGCAATACGCAGTAGACAACTAACTGATTGACTGAAAAATCAACGTAGGATTTTGCACACAGACACACCGGCTCAAGTTGCCACACTTCACAATGGTACACAAACACATCTCTCAACACGACTCAGACCAAAAGTCAAAAACTTTATGGACTAGTACCACGCCGGCGTCTCCCACCCTAAACCCTCTTTCAAACAAATACAGCTTCCCAAACTTCACACATCCAGGTAGGCAGAGACTAGGCATGAGCAACATATTTCCAGGCAACCCATCTATTTGTTGTACTAGAATTGATTCATTCCTCATTAATGCACTCCACAATTTTTGAACATTCTCATTGTAATCCAAAATATCATCTTCAGCTTTAATGACATCGGTGGTTTCCGACAGATCCTTGAATACCTGTCAAAACAAATAAATGAAAAAAATCTGCGGTTAGTTTTAGATCAGATATGGTATATTCAAGTGGAAACATACTGGGAGCTTTCTTTTTAGCTGGCAGACATTAGGCAGCAGATTCACAACAGAACACATATTCATATCTATTTCAGTTTACTATGCATTTTTTTGTTTGAATGTGGCACTTTATCAATTATCTGGGCCAATTAACTAGCAGTGTTGCTAGCTCAGTTGTTTTTACTACAAGTCAGGTAGTGTGCAGTTGTCACGCACGTGGTTAAGGTTTTATTACAGTTCCCTTACCGAATGTGTGTTCTTGACGGAGTTGGTCTGTTGCAGTTGTGTTTATTATCCTTGTATGCAATGCAGCATAACCAAAAACTGAGTTTTTGCAAATAAGTGTTTAGATACTTATGACTATGATCAACATTGTTAATTAACTAAAATAAATGGATTTCAAATGCATGTGAGTATAGCTACACATTCGCTATTCCTGGTATCTCTGTGTTAATTCCCGCATGCCAGACCCAACTTAGACTAAATGAGAATGGTATTTCATAGATTTGGAAGTGTATGGTACGAAGATTATTTAATACTTATCAGATAAGCGTGACAGCATAAGTGTTCGCTTACCTCTGGCAGTGCTGGCGAAACATAATTCACCTATTTAATAATCATCCTAACTTCCACGAGCTTGTAACTGATAAATAATGATCTGTCATATAATATACCGGCATCCAAATGAATCATGTGGAAAATATCCAGTATGAAGCCACTTCACACAATATGCAAGCGCCATTATGCACGCGCATTTCTAGATAATTGGTATTATTTACGAAAGTGATCATATGAATTGAATAACCTTCCATACCGATTCAAACAAAGTGATAAATAGGAACACTTTGAGTATATTGGAGGCGTCAAATCATCGTTGAAATGGCTAATGAAACGTGATGAAAGCAAACCTTGATTTTTACCGGATCAGAGATTGTAAGTTCATGTTGTTTCGATTATCAATAAAATGGTGCAGAATTTCGATAGCGATAGTATTGTCAGAGTGAGGAGTTTGAAACCGGTTTGCAGTTACCAGCATGAAGACTAGGGAGCTGAAGCTGGGATTTAGGGTACATAGGTGACAGTTAAGGCACTAACGTTCAAATAAATCAGTAATTAGCATATAGTCGTTGTGCTAAGAAGCTATACTTTTAAGTAAATGCTTGGAAAGAAGTTTTAACTTTTTCGTTTTCCTCAAAGTGGAATTTACGTAGTTATTTGGGATTGGAAGTTGAGCTTTAGGATTTTACCAACTAACCTCCACAACCTCAGGACACATGCATTTGAAGAAACTTTCACCAGCCTAATACATTAGATACATCAGTTTAATACAACTCAGATTTCATAAGTTTTACTAAATGAATTCTCAAAATAATAAAAATGAAACTGTTATTAATTGAGAAAGCAGTAATAATTACTGGAAGTTGCCGAAAAGTAATGCTCAAGGGCTACATGTTTTTATGATTCCACTTTTGTGCTTATATATTTCAAGTTGTT